TTTTTACACTTTTCTTTCTACATATTCAGAAAACTCAAAGAATGTATTCAACAAATCAGGCTACCAGGACATATGGAGACATAAAAACACTCAGCATATGGGTAGAAAAAAGTTATTTTAAACATTGACTGATTAGAACTAAGTGGGTGAATTAGTATACCCATGAGGAAAAATTTGGGGTTACAGATGACATAGAAGCAAGTCAAACATGTTGCCAGCTTGTTCTTTAATGTTATACATAGGCTGCCATATGCTCAGATTTACAATTCACGCTGCATTATCTGAATTTTCCACAACTCATATTGCATGATCAAACAAGATCATAAATTATGTCATTTCTGACAATTTTTTTTTAATTTTGTGAGATTAGTAGAGATGTTCTGATATTTTATTCTTGGTGTGTTACTCTTTAAAATTCAGTATAAAAATAGTTATTTCTTTGTATTGTGAGTTGTGTTTTCATAAATGAATAGTTTTTGAGTCAATTGCTTTACATAAACAAAATATAAATCTGTGTTCTCTTCAGGAAATGTAACATATATTTGCATGTTCTTCAGTTATTCACAACTTGAAGATAATAATAAAGCATTAAAGGGAATAACCATTATATAACTTGATGACATGGAATAAGCAGTTAAGGATGATAAGTGAAAGGTATTTTTTTTCTACCATTTTATTTTATTTTGTTCTTTATTAAGAAAAAAATTAAGAACTGTATATATTCTATCTGTTGTTCAGAAATTTGAATTGGTCTTATAAAGAGTTCAATCATTTAATGTATAATTTAGAAAATTATAGAAAAATATTACATATTTGAGCTTTCAGAACTATTTTTTAAGTGCTAACAAGTACATACACGAATCTTAATGAATAAGTGTTTAAAGTATTTTTAATGGAAAAATTGAAATGCATACATGTTTTAAAATATGCTTACTATATAGTAACTATGTACTATCCCCTCTACTGTTACTGAAGTTTGCAAAATTAACCTGCTATGTCATACTTATTTCCCTCTGGAGATTATATTTCAAGATTTTTACAGAAAAGGTAAATAATAATTTAAACAAATTTTAATCTTTGAGACTGAGATAAACAATAGAAATAACATCAGGCTTTACTAATTTATTATTTTCTTTTATTTTGTAAACTATATTTTAATTGAGTTAATGAAACTCGACACAGAGTAAACTCCATTGTGTCCTACAAACTTTGTTGTTTTTATGTTACTCTTACTGCAGATTTCTGTTTTATTTTTTCCCTATTAATATTTTAGTGGAAACCTAGGATAAGAC